GTGGTTGAAGTGGGGCTTGGGTTTAGGCTTGTGTGTTTTAGGTTCACGAGGGGATCATGAATTCCAATGCAATATTACATAATAAAATATTGTGATCATGACTATAAATATATATTAGTATATTATATACTTATTTTATATATGAGANNNNATATATATATATATATATATCGTATTATCCCGGGAAAATACATTACTACAAAGTACGAAATCCCTGCCCAATCGATTAAAATATCATGAGCTCTAGGGTTTAGGGTTTAGGGGTTTAGGGTTAATTATAAGTTTATTATCTAGACGACATGATCGATCTAGTAGACACACACATGTACAATGCCTAGCTATTATTTCAAGGCTGAGCTGCATGATCATCCCAGTTTGTCTGCCGCTCAAGTCGATGCTTCCCTCAAACTTGTGGCTTTGCTCCTCGACCTTGTTGTTCTGCACTTTGGCGGAGTCAAAGACGAGGAAGAGTTCCTCGTCCTGGCATCAGGATGGGGTGGAAGGGTCATGATATGTATACTGTGCATGGTAGATCACGGATCGGCCTCGTCCTGATCAAAGTCGGGGTGGGACATATGCCACGGGATGTCGGGCAAGTAGTTGCCGTTGAGCCGTTGCAAGGTATACTTTTCGCTTCTCAGCGACTTGGCTTTCGACTCACCATACTTCTGAACCAAATCCTTGAAGCTTGTGTATGCACGAGTCCCCGTAAGCCTGGTCTGCTGCGTTCGTTGTGCAGCGATCACCACCTCGGTGTTATTCCAGTTACACCCGGCTTCCTGGTACATCTTGAACAGCTCCTTCAGCACTGCAGTGCCTTTAGCCAGGGGTTTATCGGATCGACTAGCTACGTACCATGCATGTTTATATATTATAATCGTACATGTACAGGGCCTCAAGACACAGGATATACAGACGGGCACACACACACACACACCAAATATGCATGGCAGCAATTCCAATTACCATCCGAGGCACCGTACTTGCCATCGGAGGCCTTCTTCAGGATCACATCGGGGCAGTTGGCACCTGGGTGATTGTGGCTTAGCTGATCAGGTAACATCTAGATGCGGTTACATTAATTATAATAGCTAAGACACTGTCCAGGGATCGATTGAACTTCATGCGTAGCCGCTTTGCCATCTTTCTTTTCTCGACCTTGTCTAGCTCTTCGGCATCGGTAGGATCGACATCACCTTCGAGATCCGGATCCTCCACCATACGCCCATCAGCTGTCTCCTCATACGGGTCATTCATGGCCTCAACGGTTTTCGCCACAGCAGATGCAGTCGACAACGCCTGACGAGAGTTCTAGATCCATCGACACAGATCGGGTACAGAGAGTACAATCATTCGAACAGGAGATCAGACCGAGAGAGATCATGTGAAAAAAGAGTGACTAGGCCTGGATGTCAGCAGTGTTCAAGCGCTGCAAGGATGCGGTAAGCTCGTTAATCTGCTTCTTCTTACCCTCGAGCTCCGGATTCGTTTGGGTCGGTTCGGGACAGATAACCTCTTCAATCTGCTTCTTCCCACTCTCGAGCTCCGGATTCGTTTGGGTCGGTACGGGACAGATAACCTCTTCAATCTGCTTCTTCCCACTCTTGAGCTCCGGATTCGTTTGGGTCGGTACGGGACAGATAACCTCTTCAATCTGTTTCTTCCCATTCTCGAGCTCCGGATTCGTTTGGGTCGGTACGGGACAGGCAACCTGTTCAATCTGCTTCTTCTCATCATCGAGCTCGGCAGTCGTTTGGGTTGGTACGGGAGACTTAACCTCTGAAAGCTTATCCTCCAACTCCACAGTCTTTGGCACAGCTACAGGAGCAGCAGCTTGCGGATCTGGCAACGACTCGTTCGGCTCTTCCTGCAAGGAGACATTCGGGAGTAAATGTAAATAGGGAGCTTGATCAGGTCTCGAGGGGTTCTATTTATACTACATTATTATTTATAAATTTTATATTTATTTTTTAATTAATACGTTTAAATGTTTAATTATTACGTAGCTATTGCATGGCCGTGGTTTTACAGGGCGTGGATTAGTTTTAACATGTAGCTTCGAAGATATAATAATAATATTAGAATTAAGAAATAATAACAGTATATTATATTCAGAACTTGATCCTAGTACTGGATTTGTTGAATAAAGGATGATCCGAGTAATTGATCATGAGGGTGTATGTACATTTTAGGTTTGGTGGCGGTCCTTGAGCATCATGCGGGCTAACTCGGCTTCCAAGAGATTGTCATCATTCAATAGCTCGACAGAGCCATCATCGGAATGCTGATCCTGGTTGTTGTCCTCGACATCGTAGGCACCCTGCTGCAGCCCAGCATCACGATGGCCTGGTGCACCCTTCGAATCATGACCCCCTTCTCCCGACTGTGCTTTCGCGGAATCGGTGCTGGTTATAGGTACCCCCTCTAAGGATCCGGATTGGATGACTGTGCCATTCATGACCCCTTCTCCAGACTGTGCTGCATTGGAATCGGTGATGGTATGGCCCCCCTCGGGGGTGGCACGGTCCCCATCTCCGGACATGGATTCGGGAAGCTGCACATCCTCGTACGGATCCTCCAAAGTCTCCGGCAGGTCCTCCACTTGCCAGTCCTTGGAGGATTGGCTGATCATGCGCTGGGTGTCAGTCATCTCGAGCTCCGGATTCGGATTCATCAGACCGAGGGTCGTATCGTTGGTGCCGTTGTCGTCGACAGCATCAACCTGTGTAGCGGCTGCATGTAGCTCATGATTCGAAACTTGCTCAGCTGTAATAGGTGCCGGTGGTAGATCATGATCAGGCTGAGTGGACTGCTCAACCTCAGTAGGCCGTGCTGTAAGATCGTAGGCACACTTCTGCGAAGCATCCATTTGATGCCATAGCTCGAGCTTCTGCGCGAAGTCACTTGCAAAAGCATGAGAGCCGTGCATCTGCACCAAAGCCAGGAGCTTGTGGATCCAGCAGCCGCCCTGGGTGGCCGCTTGGCATACATCAGTCTCCAGCTCCCTGGATCTTTTTGCTAAGCGAGCTAGCTCACCCCCGAGCCACTTCTGCACAGACTGCTTGCGCTGCTCATCATCCGGCTTACCTGCCAAGATCTTCTTGGCTGCTACCTCAGCTGCAGACTTCCGCTTTTCGTACTCGTCAGTCTCATAAGCGTGCTGCCTGTCGAGAGCAGCCAAAGCCGCCATCACATACTCTTTGCAGGTCATCACCATCTCCACCATGCTCTCAGCTAGATCATCACACACCAAATCCTCGCAACTTGTCGTACTTTCGACAAAGTCATTCAGCATGTAGTCTTGAAACGCACGAAGCCCGTACGACATCAATCGTGGACCGGTCTCTGCATCCATAAAGAGCAAATCGAAAGACTGCGCATCTAGCTGCCAGAACTCATTCAAGTAGAGGGGCACTCGGGTGTCGGTCGTGATGCTGTTGGAGGACCACTGCAATGTAGGCTGGGAATCAACATGGCTGGTTTTGCCTTGGCATCATCGCGAACAACATATAGCAATCATGATCTATATCTAGAGATCTAGATCTAGTACTAGTAAAGTACCGAGCTCGTA